TTATTTGGCTTAGCCAGGGGAGGGATTAAGACGCATTAGGATTTTTTGCTTTATTCGCACCTCAAAACGCAGTGGATCTGAAAATAATGACTATACAAAGGAATAAAAAACTAGCTAAATATGATAGGAAATTAACAATATACCAAATATGACCACAATGACATATATGGCAATAAGGAAGAAACTTCTTAAATTCATCACGAAGTTAACTTACGTATGTGCTTGGCCCTACTTTCCTGAATCAGAATGAAAGATTTTTTCCACCTCTGAATTTCCGTCCCTAATACATTGAACAGTCTTACTAGCACACAGAGTGATAGCTGCGGGCTAAACAAATGACAAAAATAAATGAACGTGAATAAACATATAACAGTCATGATATTTCTCAAGTAATATTTCAAAGTAGTGAATTTAGAATACTGAAAAAGGGCATAACACCGAATAACCTAGTCATCGTACGCCGAGATAAGGGACTGACGTGCGAGACGTAGCGGATAATGAACGGTTCCTAGAATGTTGCCACTAGGTGCATGAAAAAATACACATAAAGAGAACTTAATACTAGACAGGAAAATAAATCCTGTTGCACAGGACACTAAATTTAATTGTTAATGATTACGTGGAATGTTTGCATCTAAAATGCATCCAAGAATCATTTACACATTTATCCTAGACGTTTTCATGAAAGTGAAGAAAGCTTTTTTCGCGTAAAAATTAATTTATTTATAACATCTACATAATTTTAGCCGAAACTGGCGCATTTGTACATGTATACATGTTTTTCTAATTTTTACGAATAAAACTTATTGAAAGAAATATAAAATAAATAGGATGTCAGCAATGTATTTGTTGAGGATCCATATAAGTACGAGCAAGAAGATAAATAATATACGTTTAAAAATTACTTTTTAAAGACAACACTCCTAAAGAATTCAGTGTCTTCAATGTTAAAGATGTACAATGAATTTCTCATTTTATTTTCGAATATTAAAAAAAAAATAATTTTTCAATTTTTTTAATATATAATTTTTTTTTTCAAAATTATTTAATCTGTCAATTGATTCATGCATTGCCTCAGACTTCGCAGAAGTGTGCAAAAGTTCAGATCAATTGGTCAGGTAAAAGTGTGTCAAATATCAGTCATAAGATTTGTAGCTGACAAAATTATTTTTTCAATTTTTTAATATTGAAAACAAATTTTTTTTAATTTTTAAAATCATTTATTTTGTCATTTGATTCTTACAATGTCTCCAACTTTACGCAAGTGTGCAGAATTTCAGATCGATAGGACAAGTAGAACTGGGTTAAATTTAGATAATAAGATTTGTAGCAGACAGACAGACAAACAAGAAGTGAAGTTAAAGAGAAGTGTTGTAAAAAGACGAAAAAGCCACCACGTAAGATTAGCTTGTATCTCATAGATCCAAATTTTCAGAAAATCTCGATCGTTCCATCGACTTTCAAAGACTGGAAAACCTTTTTCAATTTCGTCTACGAGGGTCGATCAACAAAGTGACCGAAAACCTCTGCTTCGATGAAAAAAAACTCGTCGGATCAAAACTGGTCCGACATGAGGAGGATACTCAAAAAAATTGGAATGCGATGTTATATTTTGCTAAATCAGACAAAACCTGAACCGCTGACGTGGCCAAATAACTTACCCAGCTATAACATTGATTCTTATGCATTAATGTGAAATTTTAACTTGTCAGGTAATTCTAACTTGGTCAGCTAAATAATGCAGGTCGTGGAGAAGTTTTGATTAGTAGGTAAAGCATTTAATGTTTATGAAAATAAAAACTTCGAGTATGAAATTCGAGTATTATATGATTTTCAAATATTATATGGTAATCATAAATAATAGGATAATCATATGATTTATGTATTGAGACTAACAAAAAAGGCCAAGAAAACTGTCGTTTAGAATCGATTTTCGAAGTGTATGATACATCACTAAGTGCGCTTGACACTGAGAACCTGAATGCTGCATAGTGAACAATTGTTGTGCGATAACAAAGTTCACAATTCATCAAAATTTCAGAACAAAATTAACGCAAAATAGTTTCAACAGTCTTCTTTCAATACGAATTTAAGACCTCATTTATTTGGTTTCGATTTTTTGGGAGGCTTTCAAGCCATATTATTGCACCACAGTAAATCTAACAAAACCTTTTTAATCAAAGATATTTCAAGCAGATAATCAATTTGTGTATGCCAATAATTAAATCTACACCTGGGTAGTAGTGTTTTTCAGAGTCTGTCGACCTGCTACCTTTAAATTCGTGAAGGCGAGCTTTTCTTATTACTTAATCCTGGAAGCTCGGCCGACACGAACAGAGTTCTTCTGCCCAAGAACTTATTTCAGTTTCTGTGTTGCTGCACAGAAATCCAGTCTCATCACTGCGATGTCTGTAGTGGTCAAATATTCAGCCAATAAATGGGAATTATTCACCAGGTTTGGCTAGTCGAATGATCGAATGTCAACAACCAACAACATAATTTTCAATAAGCATTGTTCCACAGTCTCAGATGAAAATTAGACTAATAATTAATTGTAGTAAATTAGTCGAATAAATATGCCGCAAACGAATATTGACAAATCTCTTTGCTGAATGAGGTCTCTCGATACAATGATGTATTAAATGCACTCGAAAGCATAATAAACCAATTTATTAATTAATTTAAATATTTGATCTCAAATAATAAATTGTGATTTATTTCATGCGAATTACTGTTAGAATTAGAATTGCGGCGAATCCTTAATATTTAAATGTAGTCGGTTTGCGCAAAGAATAAAAAGTATCATTTAAATCTAAGTGCCATTAAAAAATCTCCATTAGCCGCCACCAAAGGAAGAGATCAAGATGCGAATTTTTATGCTGGCTATTTAACAATTTTTTCACGCCGTGAATTTCTCATTAAGAATCTTCCAGATGCGCTGAGTAACAAAGACGTCTAGCAGCTGCTGTTAATTGTGATGGCGGCTGCGGCTGACGGCGCTCTACTTCAGCGACGTCGTTGACGTCAACCACAGAAGCGCACAACACGCTGAAATCACGGGGGCTATTTATTGTATTATATACCCTGGTAGCATAACAGTATTGTAAACAATTTAAAAATCTATTGGATTAATTATTTTTTGCAAATTTTCGAGCATTGCAATGAGTTCTCCACGAAGCGGCGCCCATCTATGCCCAGTCGAGTTTTTCTTCTAGTTTTTATCTCTGAACGCAATGTTATGTTTATTTTTAGTATCGTACAAGTTGGTTTTTAAATTTACATGGAATTAACATTTAATCCCGTAAGCTGTTCATGTGCATTTTCGTCTTAACAGACAATTGACACGGGCCTTCAGGTAAAGTATCAGCTTCAAACACAATCTAGCCATCAGAAGCTCAACAGGCCGGCCCGAAATGAGAACGAGCTGCGTGCATCGCTTACACAGAAGACTTTTGATCTGCCATTGCAATCAAGGAACGTGAATGAGAAAGCATTTCTTTCAACGATCACTATCCTTTTTTACTATCCGTCATATCCGTTTAATTTTTAGAAATACAATTCGTACGTTACTATTAGAAAATAGAATGAAACGAAGGATGTTAAGCAGACAAATATTAAACATTGCAGCCGAATTTTCAGTTAGGATTTTTTAATATAGCGGTTTCAGTGTTAATTAGGCCGTAGGCCTGTCACCGGTTCTTAACATTGCAGAACATCCACAGCTTGTTGCGGGCTTGAACTCGCAACTCACTGCTTCAATTTTGCTTTTGCTTAACCGCCCGGCCTCCTCGCCGATTCTGACCAGATACTGTCGCACAGAGCTGGGATCGAACCCGCACCTCTCTGCTCCAATCTTGGTACCTAATCGGAACTTTAACCACTGGGCCACCCTGCCCTAACCACTGGGCCAATTCAGCAGGTCAAGTCGCAAAAGTTAAAGTTGAGCGTCTACCATAGTTCATTTTTTGTAAATGCTAATAAATAAGCTCAATTCTATATTTTTCTGCTGCCGCTGTCCATTTAAACTTCAAACTTTGAGAACAATTACGGAAGACGTGTCTTCTTGGAACAAGAAGTCCCCAAAATTTCACGGAAATCTACTCAACTAAGTCGTGAAATTGACCGAGGAGCGTTAATCTCTTCGTTTAACTTTAATTGGAGGAAATCTGAGAACAAACTAAAATTTTTTCATCCTATGATGAATAATTCTGGAGCAACGCAGTTGTTCGTAAATGATTTTGAAAATTTGTGGTTACCTCTAGATGAAAATTTATAAAAAATGAATATTGTTCAAGTAACGATAGCTTACTTTAATGTAAAGAAATATTGTCAGATTGTAGGTGCAGAAGGATAAAAATTACATAAAAGTTATTTTCATTTCTATTGAAGAGTTTATAATACCATCCACTCATAGAAGATAAGGAAAAAACATCGTTATAAATTTTTTTCGGGTAATTAGACAAGGTCAGCGGTTCACTAAGAATTATTATGATTTAAAATGGATTCGAACTTCATAGCATATTCTACATCACGACAAAAAAAGTATGCTACAGATTTACAACAGATTCATTTCTAATTCTATGAAGCAGGACAACAAAGATTCAAATTAAAGATCATTAGAATGAACGTTAATTTCAAGACGTTTTCTTAAAATTGAAAGAAAAGAAAAAAAATTATATAGAAAGGCAGAACACGCTTCATTGCACTGAATTAAAACAGTGTATATAGAGTTTAAGTAGATTAGATTAAATAGTTAACTACAGCGTATGTATTTCAGAATCGCATAAGATTTTTGCATATTATGCGATTCGCATAACATTTCTTCGCACAAGATCGCATGTTATTTCATCACAACAGAATAAATTGGTTTTCCTTTTAAGGTTAAACTGGAGGAATAAAAAATGGAATTTCTCAAAGAAAAAATACATTGACATTATTATCCGTAAGTAAATGAGAGCATGTAATAAATGCTTAATTATGCTTCAAATTACAGAGTTCTGAATATTGGAATTAGAATCATTCAATGGCAATTGAGACTCGCAACATTTTGATAGGAGGATCAAATTTAAAAGCACCCAAAACCCAGTATACCTGGTATCAAGGAGCCTTTTTTATTACGCACTAGTATAAACTCAAGTCCCAATTAGAGTTCCAAGCAAGAGGCATTAGCACTAATCACAAATGCAGAATGTTATTGCAATTCAAGTCATGAATACAATAATGAAAAACATAACCAAAGAATTCTAAAACACACGACAAATGACTGTAGTTTTTTGTTGATATTTCATATTGAAAATGAAGGCATTGAAAACCAAGCTATGGCTAAAAATTTAGTTACTGAGCATGCGCTCTTTGACTTCAAGAAGAGCATCGTAACGGGAACGGTACTCTTCTTCCGTTGCCTGTTCATTTTCGGCAAGCCACTCTTCAGTTTCCGAGCAAACGTCCATGAATTGGTCCAACTCATCGTTCTCCAGCAGATCTTGGTCCCTCTGCTCGCTAATCAAGTCCTTTAACTCAACACAGAGAGTCTCCAGTTCATGTCGAGCAGCTGTAAGCTTCTCCCTCTTTTCGTCATCTTTCTGGAATTCTTTCGCTTCGGTGATCATTCGCTCGACTTCATGCTTCGGCAGTCGGCCTTTGTTGCAGCGGATAACGATCTCTTCGTTGCTGCCGGTGGCTGTGTCCTCAGCAGTCACAGTCAAGATTCCATTCTTATCGACAACGAAAGTTACCTCTATTTGTGGGACACCTTTCTTAGCTGGTTGGATATTTTCCAAAGAGAACTCACCCAGCAAGTTGTTCTCGTCACTACTGAGTCGTTCTCCTTCGTACACTTTGATATCCACACCTGTCTGATAGTCAACAGTGGTGACGAACTTCTTCTTCCTAGTCGCAGGAAGTTTGGAGTTGCGTGGAATAATTCGGCTCATCAAGTTTCCAAGAACATTTATCCCAAGTGTCATTGGGGTGACATCTACGAACTTTATGTTCTCAATTGTCTTGTCACCAGTTTTAGAAGCTGCGTGAAGAGCAGCTCCGTAAGCAACAGCTTCATCAGGATTGATCGACTGATTGAGCTTGCGGTTATTAAACTTTTCCTTTAGAAGCTCCTGTATTTTCGGAATTCTGGTAGAGCCGCCAGCTAGAACAATCTCGTCGATGTCATCAATAGTCATTTTTGCCGACGTCAAAGCTGCATCAACCGGCTCCATGGTTTTCTTGAAGAGGTCAGAACACAATTCCATCAAACGAGCTCGATTGAGGGATGACTTGAAGTCATTGCCGTCGAAAAGAGAATCTACCAGAATGGGTTCCTTCTTCGACGAAGAAAGATTTCTCTTGGCACGTTCACATGCAATCCTTAGTTTGCTCAGGGCTTTTGAATCGTCTTTGATATCCATCTTTTGTTTTTTCTTGATTTCTTTGCTGAAATGTTCCACCAAACGTTCATCGATGTCGCTGCCACCAAGAAAGGTATCACCACTAGTGGCTATGACTTCAAAATCATTTTCTGTCATACTGAGTATGGCTACGTCGAAAGTACCGCCTCCTAAATCGAACACCAGGATGTTCTGCTTCAAGTCTTTCTTTTGATCGAAGCCGTAGGCGATGGCGGCAGCTGTGGGCTCGTTTAGAAGAGATACGATGTTCAAACCAGCAATCTTACCCGCATCCATGGTCGCTTGGCGCTGGGAGTCGTTGAAGTAGGCAGGCACTGTAACTACGGCGTCTTTGACTGGAGAACCGATGTATGTCTCGGCAATGGTTTTCATTTTTTGTAGAATCATTGCTGAGATCTCTTCTGGTGAAAAATCTTTCGTCTCATTCTTGTATTCAACGCGAAATCTTGGATCTCCAGAAGAAGACTCCACAACATTGAACGGCCAAAGTTCTATACGTTTTTGGATATTTTCGTCATCATATTTACGGCCCATGAGACGTTTGGCATCAAATATTGTGTTGTCAGCGTTGTGCACTGCCTGTGCTTTTGCAGCATCGCCGATGAGGCGCTCTTCATCCGTGAATGCAACGCACGATGGGGTGATGCGGTGGCCCATGTCGTTAGCAATGACCTCCACGCGTCCATTGCGTACGACAGCCACGCACGAGTTGGTGGTGCCGAGGTCGATGCCTATCGCCGGTGTCTGATTTTCCGCCATCTTGAGAAAGCGAGATGCCTAGTAGATGAAGAAAAAAAATATTACATCCATACAATACCAAAGATAGTAGGGGACTTCATTTCCCAATTCAAGTTTCAATTATACAATGAAATGTTCTAACAAACACCCAAGAGAAACTAATAAAAAAAAAAACAGGCAAAGTGTCCCTCACTTCAATCTTCAATAAAAACTGACCAAATCCTAATTTCCAGTCTTCGGTCCCGAGACTGTTAAGAATTGAATGCCTTTGATGTTTCAAATACATACAGTAGTCATTACTTAGTAAGTTTATATCTTCTAATGGTATGAACTTCTCGGCCCGTATCGAGTTGCAGCTCGTGTGGCGCCACAATCTGCGATATGTCAAGCAACATTCATGTCTAGGCTCTGAGTTCCTTCATTAATTACAATCCCGTTGTATAGGAGTGAAATATGTCTTTTATCGGAACCTTTTATATGAGTGTCTTTTAATTAGGTCAGCACCACAGCAGAGAACGGGTGTGTATTGAATTAAAACCTGACGTTTTAAATATGGACGATTACCGGTGTCTTAAGTGAAAATGACATTGAATTTATCAGGCCCAATTTCAACCTGCATAGATTTTAGGTGTTCGATATTCGTGCTAGGTTCTATTATGTAGTTTTAGGCATGAGCCATTTTGTACTATTATTATCCGTAATCCAAATCCATCGTACACAAAGACATCCGAAGTCTGGGCTTGAGACTTCTTTCACACATTGTTAATATAATCCTAGTTGTTGAATCAAAGTGTTATGTATGGTCGCCTTTGTTTTCCCGTCTACCTTGAACTGAGGGAAGTGTGGCGAACCTGGAGTTTGTTTGCGGGAATTTTATTGTTGTTAATAATCTCAAAAGCCCGAATGAGCTATTTCAACTCTAGAAATAATCCAAATAACTAAACCAGCAGGAAGTTTCACCATCTAGTAATTAATTAAATATTGTTTAGAAAAAGCCGAATAAACTAATGTAGGCTCCTATTATTTTCGTATATTGCAACATTGCTGAGACTTCATTACACAATTCAAGGAGCTGCTATGAATGGGGATGAGATCGAAATCTCTAAAATTAATTTGTATGCAAATATTTGATTTTATACAAGAAGACATTATTTAAAGACAGCTAAGTAAAGGTTATTGACTACGATCAATGTGATCTTCTGATGCACTTGTTAATTAGGTTGAATAGGTGTGAGTCTACAGGTCAGGGGCTATGTTGATCTATTGAATACCAAGAATAAAGTGTGAGAACTCTACAGTAAATCAGAAAAATCATTATCCAAAGCATAAATCACCCAAAGGGGAAAATGTTTCATTAAATTATTTGTTTCATAGCTTCCTTCAATCAAATAGCCCTGAGTAAACTCTGAAATTTGATAATTTTTACCGGATGAAGCGAATTCCGAAAAGTTCTAGAATAGCTCGGAATGCCCTTGTAATAAAAAAGTTTAGAATGGTATAGGAATTTGCAGTGTAAGTATAGATTAAAATTAATCAAACCGCAGTTTAAAAGAAAAATGAACACTTTTAGATAGTCGCAGCAACAGAAAATGTAACAAACTATTGTTTTAACAATAAATCATGCACTTTAAGAGTCTAAGATATGCAGTGATAGAAAATATATCAATATAGTTTGAAAGAATAGGTACTTGCGATGAACACTATTAGGTGTGCACGCCTGCACGGTAACATAGCCAACAAGCTTTCAACAAGACAGACAAGCTTTCATTAAATCTGCGAATGTTGGGTTTTGCAAAACGGTTAGGTACATGTCGGCGAATGTGGTCGGTTGAAAATTTTGAGTTATCTTCAAAGTTCGAACTTCGAATCACTATAAACTTGCATAAAAAAAATCAAGCCATCACCTCTAAAATTATTGATATAAAATGATTTCATTTCGTGTGATAAGGGTGAAGTGAACATTGGGGATGATTGAATATCAGCACTATTGAGACATTGTCTTTAGGAAAAATTAAATTTATTTAAACGAGGCACGATGGAGTAAACCGTAAATGCGATACCACACCATGATATAATTTTGCTGAATAGGATATAAATTTTCACGGATTCACGATGAATCGAGTAAAAAATGTCGAGAAAATCTGATTTTACGTATACTATGGCTAATGATATGAAGCCATCGAAGAATCGAAGTTCGATAGTTATAATCAATGCAGAGCGCTGCAATACTGTAGTCTGAAGACTGAATAGAGCACCATAGCATACCTATTTAACAACTGAGTGAAGTCAGTACTTAACACAATCATAGACAGCATCTCAACTTCTCAAGCATAAATTAAATCAATTTCTCACATAAAATAACAAATATCTCTGAAAAAACTTACCCAATATTCTCGTAAACTTGACACAGATTTAAGAACACTCCACTCGCAGCCGTTCTTCTCTTTCAATGGCTCTCACAATCGTTGTTATCATGCCAGGGCTCAGGTTGCAGATGCCAGACACCACCACACAGAAACATATCACCTTTCACATTGAAATTAAATGATACACCTCGAAGAAAAATATCTCACAGACACACGATAAA